AATTTATTATAATTAATAGACAAGTTTACACTCTTCTTAAATTTATTTACATATTTTATATTTTTAGTTGATAATATATTATAAGATGATGATGAATCAACATATATATATATATATAGTAGTTATATACACGGCTCTAAATTAATTCTAACAGCTAGCTAGCTCATACATTACATTCTCTCAATAACGTACGTACGTCTTTTAACTTGGTTGGTAATAGTTATTCCACTATAAATATATACTTTCATCTTCATATATCACTTTATCCTTTGTGACTTTCTTTAGTATTATTCCATTGGATAAAGGCTAAACCCATTATCATCATCATTTAAGCTAGCCTGCTTTATTGCATATATGTGGATAAGAAATTTTAACTTGTCCCATTTAATTACCCCTACGTCCGTGGATAATTATTTTTATACATATATAATATAATATATGAAGTTGACACAATAGATATATATATCACAATTATTTTTTCTTGTTGTGTATATAATTTACAACACACACACACGCACACACACGATGTGTCATGCAGAAAGGACCAAATTAAGCTTCATTATGATCTCATGAAATTTCATTTTTTTTTAATTCGGATATTAATTAATTAATTAATGTACATATTAAAGGGCTAATTCAACCTACCCACATCAAATTTAAAACCGTCAAATGATCACGTGAGCCCAAACGATCGACAAGATGAAAGGCAGGGTACTTTGGTTCACGACTCTATAAATGAAAATCTTGAATTTTAGTGGGATCTTTCACTTGCCTACTATTGTTGTGCTGCAAAATTATTCAACTATGTAGGCGGTTTCTTTGGGGCTCGAAAGGATCCCCCGTTGCCTGGGATAACTTATGTCTCCCGCGGGGTTTGGGGCTTATGAATTTGAGTGCTTGGAATCAAGCGTTACTCACTCGTACCCTTTGGAACATGCAAGACAAAAAAGACACCCTTTAGTACAATTGTATCCACAATGTACACTTGGGGGAAAAGTCCCTTTGGGAATGGCAAATCCGCATGGCGGACTTTCTACTCTTCAAATACCTCTTTGAGATCCGGAAATGTCTTGGTTGCCAAGGCGGGGAATGAACAAGCCGCTAGAAGTCTCCTCCATCGTTGGAGCTTGCGTGGTAAGCATGATGGGGTGAGATGTTGCTACGACTTCATAAGGCCCTGAGGTACAATGTTGCATTGGACTGGCGTTGTTTGGTGCCCTTGTAACACCCCAAAAAACTCATTCATCATTTGGTTGGGAGCGTTCAATCGGCTTCGAACAAAAGATCGCCTAGATTTCCTTGCGATTGATCTGACTTGCTCTCTTTGCAGTACAACGGATGAATCTTTGAAGCACCTCTTCTTCGAATGCCCCTTTAGCTTGAAAATTTGGGATGTGATTCGTGATTGGATTAAACTTCATCATAGGCCATTAACTCTCAAGAGTGCTCTAAAACGGATCAAGAGGGAGGCTCAGGGGGAAAGTTGGTAAGCAAAGTTGAAAAAGCGGCCCTTGCGACTACCGTCTACTTCATTTGGAATGTCCGTAATAGGTTAGTTTTTTAAAATAAAACTCAACCTAAGAGCCTAGTGATTCGTAAGATCAAAACTCATGTTTATTGTACTATATTGTCGATGTATCCGAATGTTCTTACCGAAGTGAAGAGGAAAGCACGTGGGATTGGATTGGCCTAACCTCTATTTGGACCCTTATTTAAAGTTTTTTAAGGGTTTTTTTGTCACCCATTATTTTGATTAGCAAGTGAGAACCAAGTATGTGGTTATCCACTAGGCTTTTTGTTTATCGTTTGACGGTCGTTGCAGCACCAATTTTTATCTATATATCTTTAATTTACCGAAAAAACACTACAAAAAAAACTGCATTTGGCGACGCTTATTTTTTTGTTTACTGGCGCTTATTTTTTTCTGACATCAAATTTAGCAACACAACTCGCCAATAAGCGTCATTAATAAGCGTCGCCAAATGCAGTTTTTCTTGAAGTGAAAGAAAAAAAAAATCTTGATTTGAGTCGTTCTTAATTAATTACATACATAAGCTAGCAGTTGCACTTCTCCGGATTTTCCAAATGAGGGTGACCCTTGTGAACAAGTCAAGCCGAGATCGAGCTCCGCTGATTTATCTATACTACTCTAAAAGGAGGAGTGTTTTTGTAAAAATTCATAATGCCTAAAAAAACCCTTACTTTGACATAAATTTTATGGCAAATTAGTAATACACTAATACACATCATATTTTATTTATATTTTTAATAAAAAATAAACTACCTAAAACA